AAATAACACAAGTGATCGACACAGGAAGAAAAACTTTTGTCTCTAGGGCCCAGAATGACACAGATGATTTTGGCAAAGTACACTATACTTTATTTGAGAAATGAGACAAACCTTTGCATGATCAGCTAGTCATTCCACGTGACATCCCAACCCACTCTCTGAGTCTGACAAATTTTTCCCAGATGTTGTAACATTTGCAGAATTCTTATTTCATGTCTTTTGGGACCTAAAAGTCAGATAATTCTGAGAAAACACCTGATGCTAGTAGGCAAACTCCATGTTCCTAAGAAGGTGAATGACCCAATCCTGCTGTTGTCCTATTTTTTTTTTTTTTAGGCATTTGGGGTTAAGTGACTTGTCCAGGGTTACACAGCTATTAAGTGTCAAGTGTTTGGTCTGAGGCCGGATTTGAACTCAGGTCCTCCTGACTTCAGGGCGGGTGGCTGTTGTCCTATTTCTCTCCAGGAATGTTGAGGGTACTCAATATTTGCTTGTCTGACAATGTTTTACAGAGAAAGAGGTTTGAGCTAAAATTATTGAGAACCCTTCCAATTTAAGATTTACCAAAGATACCAACTTCTGCTGTATATTTATTCAAGTTTTCATTCCCATTTCTTGATGAATTCATTCAGCATCTTTTTGCTTCTCTTCTAGATTGTCCTCCACTTTAATATACTTGTAGTCCCAATCTACTAGTCTTTCTTTTGTTTATTTGGAGAGACTTGCCTCTGGGATTCATGTTTTTCTATTTTGCTAATCATTTCTTATATGCAGGTCATAAATGGTGCCAATTGTTTCAGTCTTACTGCTCACACAATCCTGATTTCTCCTTTGAATTACTTTGGAACATCCTGCTGTGATTTCAGATACTCTTGGGAACCCACAGGATTTTGTGTTTCATCAGATCAGTCAGTCACTCTGCAAGTACTTAAAAGTACCTACAACGTGCCAGGCAATGTGCTAAACTATGGAGATATAAAGAAAAGGAAAAGATAGTCTCTATTTTCAAGTAGCTTACATTCAAATTGGGCAAACAACATGTAAACAATTGTACAAATTGTTTTGTTTCCAGAATAAACGAGATAATCAACAGAGGAAAAAGTATCAAGACTTTTTTTTTTTACAATATTTTAAATATACGTTTCTTTTTAAATTATGAATTCTAGATTCCCTCCTTTCCATACCACCTCCACCCACCAAGAAGGAAAACAATGTATCAACTATACATGTGAAATCATGCAAAACACATTTCCATATTAGGTTTATTGGAAAAAAAAAGTGAGAAAATTATGCTTCAGTTTACATTCAGAATTTATCAGTTCTCTCTCTGGAGGTGGAGAGCATTTTTTTTTTATCGGGCATCCTTTGGAATTGTCTTGGATTACTGTATTGATCAGAGTAGCTAAGTTTTTCACAGCTGATCATCATTACAACATTGCTGTTACTGTGCATAATGATCTCCTGGTTTTTCTCACTTCACTTTACGTCAGTTCGTATGAGGTCTTGCCATATTGTTTTAGTGAAACCATTCTCCTCATCATTCCTTATAGCACAATAATGGCCTATCACAATGATACGCCACAATTTGTTCAGCCATTCCCCAACTGATGAGCATCTTGAAAGGTATTAGGATTAAAGGGAATCAGAAAAGGCTTCTTTTAGAAAGTAGGATTTTAGCTAGGACTTGAAGTCAGGGAAGAGAAGGGGGAATGAGAAGGGAGAGCATGCCAGGAATGCGGGCTAGTTGGTCAAAATGCTCAGTTAAGGAACATCAAGAAGGTGAGTCATAGGGGTACAAAGTATGTGAGTTAAGGTATAAGAATATGGAAAGGTAGGAGGGGGGCAGGTTATCAAGAACTTTGAATACCAACCAGAGTATCTGACATCTGATTCTGGAGGTGACAGGGAACTACCAGAGTTTACTGAATTGTGATTGTGATAAGCCAATTAGATGTGGTATTTAAGAGATTATGCTAACCTTGGAGAAAGCAGTTTCAGCTGAATAATGAAATCAGAAGTGTGACTGTAGAAAGCCTCCTTTCCAATGAAAAGAAATGGAGCAACTGGCCTTCTCAAAAAGTTTAGCCACAAGAGAAGAAATATTAATATTTAATATTCTTTTTCTTGTAATATTTACTTTTGCAAACAACTTGGTGTTTATCCTCTCTTCTAATTTTAGCATCTTCCCTGTTGATTTAGCTGCTTGAGCACTAGGTTTTTGACTGAATTTTCTTGCTCTTAATATCTTTGGTGGTTTTAAGCTTTTTTCCTTATATTCCCATGCCACTCACTTTCTGGTTCTTTCCCCTTTGATGGTGGGTTTACTGTTGGGGCTAGATCTCTTCCTACTCTAGAATTTCCCTTTTCACTGGCCTACTGCCCTAGTAGCTTCTGAAAATGGAATGGAGCCAGCTAGATTCTAATTCTCTTTCCTTCAGTCCCTGGGAAGCCGCCACACGCTGGATCCCCAGTTCCTCCTTTCCCACCAACCCTATCCTGTTCTTTGGTTTTCTAGCTGGGATGAGTCATGTCTGCCATATTAGACAAATTTGGTGGAGGATGGAGTATATTCTGGGCAGGTTCCCTAAATTATGTATTACTCCTGAGCAGAAGAGAAAAACATCATTCTATAGCTCTCTTTTCTTGCCCTATGACCAGGAAAGAGTTGAGGTCTGCAGCTTGTTGCAACGAGATGCTGGGGGAAGGGCAGTGGTAGTATGTGCTGGCAAAGACTATAGAAAATTCCTAAGTAGGTCCCAAAGTACAAGCTGGTAATAGAGCGGTGATGAGTTAACAGCTCTGAGTTAGTATTCTCTAGTGTTAATTCATAAAGCAGTTACCTGGCTGGGCTTCTTGATTTCTTGTCTTGGGCTCTACCTCTGAAAGTTATTTCCTTTTGGTGATTTTTTGAGTTTAGTGGGGACTGGAGAAAACGTCCAGTCCTCCAACTCAAAATAAAAATAAATTAATAACTGAAATTTACAAAGACAGCCAATATTCACTGGAAATGTAAAGCCACCATAATGATGGTAAATTTGTAATTTTAATTTGGACAGTTATCCAAAGGAAATGGAAGCCTTGAAATTTATCATGTAAACTCCAAGAGTCAGGGACCATGTCTTTGGGGGAGATTTTTATTTTCTCCAGCACCCATACCTTGCTCTTCATCTTTTGTTTAGTCCTTTCAGTTGTGTCCAACTCTTTGTTACCCCTTTTCAGAGTTTTCTTGGCTGAGATACTGGAGTAGTTTGCCATTTCCTTCTCCACTTCAATTTACAGGTGGGAAACTGAGGCAAACAGGGTTAAGTGAGTCACCCAGGGTCACACAGTTACTAAGTGTCTGAGGCCAAATTTGAACTCTGGTCTTTCTTACTTCAGGCCCAGCACTTTATCCACTGAACCACCTAGTAAGCAAGCACTTAGTGAAAGCTAGCTGAATGAATAAAATTTAAAACTTTTTATAGGCTGAACAACATCATTAAAAAAACTGGAAGGTCAGAGGATAATATGCTTCTTATTTCTGGTTTCCCTCAGACCTGGGCCTCTCCTCTCAACAAGGGGAAGAATAGGCCAAAGGAATCTTTTTGTTTTGAGGCCCTATTTCTCATTTACTTGACATTTACTAAATATCTGTGTGCAATGAACTGGTGCAGGGGTGGGGAATCTTTGGCCTCAAGGCCACATGTGGCCCTCTAGGTCCTCCAGTGTGTCCCTTGGACTGAGTCCAAGTTTTCCAGAACAAATCCTTTCATTGAGGGGGTTTGTCTTGTGAAGTTTAGATTCAGTTAAAAGTCTGAAGCCAAGGATTTAGAAGGCCACATGTGGCCCCGAGGCAGCAGTTTTCCTACCCCTGAACTAGTGTAACAGTCAATACAAAAAACATTTTAGTGACTGTTATTTGGAAGGCATTGTTGGTCAAGAATGGACCCCAAGCTGGAGAACATTTCAGAAAAATTAAGTCATCTGGCAGAGGCAAAATAGCGCCCCCATCCGCTATGGGTTAAATGTCATATAGGGTCTGAGCTCAAGAACAAGAAAGCCAGGAAAATAAAGCCGACTGGCTCCTGTAACAGAAGGGTACTTTCAAACAGAGTGCATAATCTCTATATGGAAGACAAGGCATGTTTCAAACCTTGAAGGGCTCTGGGGTCAGCATGTCCTGAGTCAAACAACAAACAAGACTGGTCTCAAGGACAGATTCAAACATTGTAATAAAGTTTTCCCCACTACGATACTTCAGGTATAATGGCCTAGTTTGAAAGTCCTTGCCCTCAAGGAGCTAACATTTTACTAAATATTAATACTAAAGCAGCGGTGAAAATAGAAAGGGCAGACCAGAAGACAGATACTACCTAGGCAGAATTAACAGGACTCAGCTTGGCAACTGAATGGATATGTGGGTTACAGATTTCCTCGGGCGGACTTGCAGCTGAAACCTCCTACCCAACGTGAGCTCCGGGGGTGGGGTGGGGGGTGCAGAGACTACCTTATTTTTCTCTTTGAATTCCTAACGCTTAGCTCAGTTCTGGGCACACAGCAGGCGCTCAGTGAATGCTTTTTCCATTCGTTCGCTCGTTTCTTTTCTCAAGGCCTTCCATGAAGGCCCTCGGAGAAGCTCGGAGGAGATGGGCATGAACCTGCAGGGTCCCCTCGAAGTGGCCAAGGCTGCGAAGGGGAACGCACCCTCCTAGCCAAAGGCTTTACCCGGGGACCGAGCCCAGCCTCAGGTATCCAGGTAGGCTCAGGAACATCTGCCACAGCGCATAGGCGCCATAGCGCACACATGCGTAGTAACTGCCCCGACCTCCCAGAGCAGTGTGCGTCTTTACTTCCGGGTCTCTGAGCCTTCTCTTAGAGCCGTCTTAGGAACGCCTGACTCATCTTTCCGGCTTGGCTGGGCTCTGTTCGGCTTCGGTGTTTCATTCTATTCAGGCATTCGCGGTAGGCATCCGCGCCTCTCTGCGCCGGGTCCTGAAGAGCGGGGTCCTTTGGCGAATGCCCGCCCCCTCGGTTCTTTCCATGGCTCGGTCGCTGCGGGGGTACCGGCTCCAGGAGGTTGGTTTGAGGGGCGACATGTATTACAAGTTCAGCGGCTTCACCCAGAAGCTGGCTGGGTCCTGGGCCTCGGCCGCCTACACCCCGCAGGTACGAGAGCGAACGCGCGAGTCCGAGAAGGGGAGAGCGGGCGGTAGTCTGGGCCTGGCTGCCCTTGGCGGAGCTTCTGCCGCCTTGTGTCCTCTAACCGGCGGCGGTTTCCTTTCTCTTTGCCGGCTCCCTAACCGCCGACCTCCCGGGTCCTCGGGCCCAAGGTGACCTCCCTGGACTCCTCCTAAAAGCAAACTGAGATCGCCTGGCCTTATGAACTTGACCTTGCCAAGGCTTAGGTGCTAATCCCTTTTCCTTCCCCGTCGCCCTCTTTAGGAAAAACCGCCTTTTACTTCCTTGAAGCCTCCCCACCATCCTCTCCCACTGCCCGGGGAGTTGGCAAATAGATGTTTTTTGAATTAAATCGAAGTCAGTAAGCATTTATTAAGAGCCTGCTGTGTGTCAGACACTGATCGACGTTGGGGATACAGAAGGGCGATAGACAGCCCCTGCCCTCAAGGAGCTCACAGTCTGTTGGGAGAAACGACGTGCAAACAGCTCTGTACAAACAAGGGATAGATGTGGGGTATTCGTAGAGAGAAAGCTTTAAGATGAAGGGAGATCGGGAAACGCTTCTTGCAGAATGTGAGATTTTAGTTGGGACTTGAAGCCCGGAGAATACACGGTGCTAGGCAGAATAAAACAGCTCTTGACCTCAAGGAGTTTACATTCTGCTGGGGGATACGGTATGTAAGCAAACAAATAAGTCCAAAGTGATTTCAGGATGTACAACAGTTGGAGGATCCAGAAAAAAGAATATCAGTTGTTCCAAAACAGGCTCTATCTTGAGTCTTGTTCTCTTTTCTCGCTATACTGTTTCATTTGGTGATCTCATCAGCTCCCATAGATACAAATTATCTCTGTGTTGCTAATTCTCCAATCTTATTTTTCTAGCCCTAATCTCTGCTGAACTGCAGCCTCAGATCTACAGTTGCCTATTGAATATCTCCAACTGGATATCACTTAGACTTCTAAACTTAACCTGTCCCAAACTGTACTCGTTATTTTTCCACCCAAAGCCTCCCCTTTTCCTAACCTCTTTACTGTCAGTGGCACTGCCTTCCTCTCAATCACCCAGGCTAGCAATTTAGGTGTCATCCTGAACTCAGCATTCTCTCTAACCTCCCTTTATCTAATCTTTTGCCAAATTTTTAGAACATTTCTTCAGTACACTTCTTTCTGTCCTCTAAGACTGTCACCATCTTGTAACACCAGCCCTTGTAACTTTTAATGTCTGGACTATTGCAATAACTTGCTGGATTGTCTCCCTGCCCCAAGCCTCTCTATACTCCAGCCCATCCTCCATTCAGCTGTCGAAGTGATTTTCCTGAAGCTCAGGTCTGATCACGTCACACACACCTTCAACCCTATTCAGTAAACTCCAGTGGCTCCCTGTCGCCTCTAGGATCAATTATCAAATTCTCTGTTGTTCAGAGCCCTTCATAATCAAGCCCCCTCCTACCTTTTTAGTCTTCTTAATCCTCCCTATACTACCCTAGTACTTTGTGATCCAATGCCTCTGGCCTCATTTCTATCACTTGTTTAGACACAAATCTCCAGACTTCAGGCATTTTTACTGGCCCTACCTCTATATTTGGAATTCTTTCTCAAACTGTTTGCTGGCTTCACTGGTTTCAGGTTCACATCCTAGCTAAGATTCCACCTTCTGTAAGAAGTCTTTCCCAATGCTTCTTAGTTCTAGTGCCTTCCCTCTTCTAATTATTTCCTTTTTATCCTCTATAAAGGATATTGTACATATTTGTTTGTTATCTTCCCTATTAGACTGTGAACTCCTTAAACTCAAGAACCATCTTTTACTTTTCTTTATATCTCCAGTACTCAGCCATATCTAGCACATAGGAGGCACTTAGTAAATGTTATTGACTGACTGATGAAGAGGCTGAGGTGAAGGGGGAGTCACTTGACAAACATTTATTAATTTACTATGTGGGAGGCACTATGCTAAGGGCTAGGCATACAAAGAAAAGTGACCCTTCCATCCCACCCCCACCCCCAAATCACAGAATGGATTCCAAGCAGAGAAACAGTAGATGTAAGCAGGCCACTTTGGTTGGAGCATAAAGTGGGTGAAAAGCAGTAACATGGAAAAAATGCCTAGAAAGTTATTTGGTCCTTACAGAATCATAACATTTCAGAATTTGAAGGCTCCAAAGTAGTCATAAATTCTTAAAATAATCCTTCCTGTAACCTACCTGATGTGTGGTCATCTAGGCTTTTTTTGAAAACCCACAGTAAGTGGGGATTTACTACCTTCTGAAGTCTTCTAGTTCACGATAGTGGTGGTTGGAAGGTTTTTTTTTCTTACATCAAGCCTAAATTTACCTCTTAGTTACTTCTACCCATTGCTCTTGATTCTGTTTGTTGGGGTCAAAGAAAACAAGGCTGATCTCTCTTCTACATGGCAGCCTTTTGAGTCCTTTCATCTTATTTCTAGAAGCAGTGTCTGGAGAGAGAGTCTGGCTGGAGAAGACCTGGGTGCAAGTCCTTTTTCTGATGCATACTGTCTTTGTGACCCTGGAAAAATTGTTTAATCTCTAGGTACCTCTCTAATGCTCTTAACAGGTATCTAAAACTGTAAGCTATAGAGCAGATGGTAGAAGAAATTCACTTATATGAGTGAAATTGCAGATCCCAGGCTCCTCTCAGATTCCTCTCTTAATGTTTACTAACATGGCTTTCTTGGTTGCCATATTGCACTGTTGACTCATATTAAGCTTGTGGTCCACCAAAACCCCCAGATTGTTTAGAGACAAACTGCTCATTAATCGTGGCTCCCCTATCTTGTGCTTGGGAAGTTTATTTTTTATTTTTTAATTTTTTTGCTTTTTGGTGAGGTATTTGGCAGCTGTGTGGAGGATGGCTTGGAAACTAGGAGACCGATCTGGAGGCTGTTAGAATGCAGGTAAAGGACAAGGGTGGTGGCTGTGTGAATGGAGAGATGTGGAGGCGCAATTGGCAACTGCATGTGTTGATTGAGGGAGAGGGAGAAGTCAAGCTTCAGTTTGAGGATGGGAACCCGGGTGACTGAAAAAAATGGTGAGGCCTTTGTCAGAAATAGGGAAATTTATTTTTTTCCAAGTGAAGATTTAAAAATATTTTTTCCAGTTACATGTAATAACAATTTTTAACATTCATTTTAAAACCCTTTGAGTTCTAAATTCTCTCGTCCCCATCCTCACCCCCACCTTGAGAAGGCAAATAATTTGATATGGATTATACGTATGCAGTCATGCAAAACATAAGAAATGGGGAAATTTAGAGGAGAATGAGTTTGCTGGGAGAATCTAAAGTTCCATTTTGAACAAGTTGAGTTTGAGATGCCAGGTGACATCCAGGTAGACATATCCAGCAGGCAGGTGTCTATAGGGGACTGCAGTTCTGGAACAAAGGACCAGCTATAATGGGTTTGGGATGATAACTCGCTCCATGAGTGGTAATTACAGATAGATTATAGAGAGAAAAGAAGGCCTACAGCAGAGTTCTTGTGGAATTTTACTCAGTTAAGGAGAAACATGGATGATGATCCAGCAAAGGAGCCTGAGGAGCAGTCAGACAGGTAGAACCAGCATGGAGACATCCAGAGAGGGGAGCTGACAGTGCCCCTAGCTTCAGAGGTCAGAGAAAATGGGCCCTGAGAAAGTCTGAAGGCTGAACAGGTAAGAGATGATTGGTAATCTTGAAGAGCAGTTTCCGTTGAATGGAATGGGCAAAGTCAGGTTGTAAAGGGATTGAGTAATTAGGAAAAGAAGCTTTTTAGTGCAGGCAGGCCTTTCTAGAAGTTTGTGAAAGGAGAAGAGATAGGATGATGACTGGTAGAATGGCAAGACTAAATAAGATTTTTTTTTAAGGGTAGGGGGATGTTTGTAGTTGATAGGGGTGGAGCTAATGGATGAGGAGAGATTGAAAATGAGAAAGAGAATGCTGGGGTGGGGGGAAGGAGGGAGACAGAGGCAGAGGAGACATGATCAAAATCCCAAGCAGAGGGATTGGCCTTGGAGTTCTCTTCATCAGATACTGAAGCAGAGAAGAAAATTAGGAATGACCTAGAAAGGTTTTGAGGTGTGTATGTGAGGGACTGTCTGATGTTGGCAGCTGCCAGTCGGGTACTGTGGCATGGGTAAGGTAAGATCTGGGTATTTTGGAAGTCGAGGCAGGGACTGTGGTAGGCAGAGTCGTGTGTACTGGGATGTGCTGGATTCGGAGAAGCCATGAGGCAATTGGGCAGTGCTCTGTGACATAAGCTGGGTGCAAGGAAGTAGCTGAGCCTGAGCTCCTGAGGCAAGGGGCGGTGCCACGTGGGAGTGGGATGGCAGAGGACTGAGTTCCCTCTGCTTAGTCCCCTCCCTATATGCAACGTCATCCCCAGATGCCTCTTGTGACCTTCCTGACCTTGTACAGCACTGACCCAGTCCCCTCCTGAGTCTGACTTCCTAGGTCACGTACTCTTGTCTATGCGTCAATCCCAGATGCCTCCTTCCTGTATCCAATCCTGGCCTCCTATGTCACTCCCTCCCCCTTGGTGTGCTAAACTCAGACAGCCCCTTCCGGTATCTGACCCTACAATCATTGGCTAGTAGCGGGCTGGGGAGGAGGGGCTAAGTAGGTACTTAGGAACAAGCGTGGTCAGAACACACGTGCGCTCTCCCCTGACTCCTGCTCTGTTGCTCTGGCCTTGCTGCTTGGGCTTGCTATGATGGTTTGCTGTGTTGGCCTCTGAATAAAACTCTGGTGTTGGTGCCTTCCCATGGCTTGTCTCTGTGTGGTGATCCGGCTGAGGACCGAAGACCCGGGCATGGGTAAGACTCTGGCGGTGCACTTCTCTTAGGAGAAGTGGGTACTGGCGCACGACTGGCAGAGGGTCAGCGTGCGGCCCGTATATGTGTAAGATGCTTTCTTCCCTTATAGGATGAGTAAACTGTTAGGAGGTATTAAAGGATGTAGTGTTGGGAAGGTATGTTTTGGAGGAAGCATTTTCAATT